TTTTCTATGCGTTTTCCGAGGGACTAAAACACTTGGATCGCGAGACCCCGGGCAATACCTGTTCCACCGGGGCCAATTACCCCTACTACCTAGTATAGCTCTAGCCATAAGGGCCGACTCCCTTCACAGAACGCCGCCGTTTTCTTACTGCAGGTCGATCTATGGATAAGAAACGCCGGGTTTTACGCCGACGGATGGGGAAATGAAGGCGCTAGATGGGTGCAGCAAGTAAGCAACATGGTCGCGAACTCGTTTGTTCTTCCTTCGGGGCTCTGCGTCTCGGAAGTACAGGAGGGGCGTGGGGGAGGGCCTCTCGTGTACAAGTACATGTATTGATGTGACCTCCCAATAGCGCCAGGACTGGTGTCCACAGGGCATGTAACTGCTTGGTTAGGAAGGATGTTCTAAGTTCCGTGGGGTAAATATTAATACCCAAGGAAGTTAATACTCCGTATAGCTAGCGTAAATAAGGTAATTCAATTATTTAGATAAATGGGTCTCTAAAGGGCCAAGACCTATATAATACATTAAATCCAATGAATGGGATTTCTATGAACAGCAGGTAATTTACATAGTTTTTTTTATAAAATACTATATACTTTTACAACTCTTTTAATTTATATAAATATATTGTTATATTTCATAACTGAACTTTTAAAGTTTAACTTCTTAAGCTTTATAAAATAAGTGTATATAATATACCATTCATCTTAATTTAATTCACTTAATATTTTAATTATGATAGCGCTGTGACTACAGTGAGTTACGCTAAATATACTGCTGTTGCACAAGCCTTAACGGCAGTTATTGCTTTCAATAGCCTCTTTTACTAAGTTGGTGTAACAGTATATGCAGTTGTTACAATATTATAGTGCTGGGCTAACCGCCCATTACTACAAGCCGCCTTTAAGGTTCTCCTGCGCGGCCCCTGTGAGTTTATTTATATAAGTAAGTAAAGCTTCCTAATATTCTTAATAAAACAAAATTACTTCATTGTGAAAGGCCAGATTAAAAGGCTATTCTTTCTGCTAGTCTCTGCTAAAGGTAGGTCATTAGCAACCCCTTATATATACAACTGTCTCTCCCGTTGGAAATTCTATAAGGCAAACCCTTCTGTCGGACCTGTTAACGCATCCGTAACTCTCATCCACCTTGAGCCATGTCCCACGACGGCGAGCCCAAGCCGCTCTCCCGCGACCCCTATCTCCTTAACCGCGACTTGCTCTCCTCCGCCCGGCTGCACCTCCAGCACGCCGTCTTCGTCAACGGTCTCGGCTACCTGCTGCACCCGACCGTCCCTGTCGGGCCGGACTCGCACGTGGCCGACCTCGCCACCGGCACCGGCATCTTCGCCCTCGCCCTGGCCACGGCCCATCCCGAAGCCCGCATCGAAGCCTCCGACATCTCCCTCGCCCAGGTCCCCGCCCGGCACTGGTGGCCCGCCAATGTGACCTTTGCGGTCCTCGACGCCCTCCAGGACCCCTTGCCGGCCTCCCTGATCGGACGTTACGACGTCCTCTGCCTCCGTCACTTCGTCTCCCTGCAGCCCGGCGACCCGCGCCCGCTCATCGCCCGCCTGCTGTCCATGCTGAAACCCGGGGGCTATCTGCACTGGCAGGAATGGGACCTGACCACCGCCGCCGTCTTCGCCCCAGACGGCACTTCCACCCCCAAGATGCAGGCGCTGATCGATTACATCAACGATCCCGCCCGACACGCCGCCCAGGCCACCTGGGTTGGCGACTTGCATCAGAGGGTCACCACCGGCGAGGTGCCCGGCGTGGAGCTGGTCGCTTACGACCGCGTCCGCGCCGCGAAGGCCGGCGTCGTCTCTATGCAGCAGGAACTCATGGCGCTGGGCACCAAGGAGGTAGTCGCCAGTCTGCGGGCGCGCGAGGGCGAGGCGAGCGTCGAGGCGGCCAAGTTCGAGAAGATTGCGGACGACGCTGTGAATGAGTGTCTGAGCTTGGGGAGGGGCCCTGTGATTGATCAGGAGATGGTGACGTGGGTGCTGAGGAAGAAGTGATGTGCATGCAGGAGATGGAATGCTCCAAGAATAAATAATGCTAAGAATAAATAATGCTCTTAAGGAGATGGAATGTATATTCTTCAACTTTTCCTCGTGGCACACACGGGACTTGTACACCCTACCAGTATCTCAAAGGTTAGAAAAGTACCTTCTCTTATACATGATATAATAAGCTACTTATTATCAGAAAAGAAGAAACAATATTTAACTGCATAAAACGTAAAGACTTAGCTGTATAGCCTTATAATAAAGTAATCAGTAGGTTCTAATACAAGTCGTAATTTTTACCTTGTTAACCTTTGAGATAATGGTAGGGTCATTTTAAAGACGCCATCTTGGTTTATATTGTCTCTACCTAGGCACTCGTGACATGTGACTTATTTTAGTTCTCTCCTGCCGTCGGCAAATCCACCGCTTTGCTCGTCGATGCCACCTTCCTACACAGCTGAGCAAGACTCAACGAGCCCATGATCTCCAACACAGGCACATCCGCCTTGACTTTTCTCGCCATGAATGTCCTCAGTTCCAGCGCAACAAGCGAGTCAACGCCATTGGCACTGATGGTCCGCGTCGGATCCACATCCTCGACCGCGATGGACAGCAAGGAAGACAGCTTATCAGTGACCGCTTCCGTCACAATCTTGGCCGCCTCATCCAGAGTCCGAGCCGCTCGAAGCCGCGCTTCAACGTCAGGTCCGTCGCCGCCGGCCGTCCCTGCGCCGTCTTGCTGCGTATTGACTCGTCGCAGCTGCGTAAAGAGAGGGAAGTTCATGTAACTGAGCATCGGAACGCCTCGAGCACGATGCTTGTCCAACGGACTCAGGCCCGTCACGAGCTGTGCTGGCGACGGCAGAGCAGCGTTCATGCCGTACTCGATGAGCGTAAGCAGCTCTTCTTCGCGCAGCACTTTCATCATGCTGCCTAGGTATTTTGTCATGGCGAGGCGGTCCGCGTGATCGGCCACGTATCCGACGTCTAGCACTGCGCCAACGTCGATGGTCGTGGCCGTTAGGCCTTGCTGCCGACGGAAGTGCGCCAGCGCGTCCTGGAAGGTGTTTCCTGCGGCGTAGTTGGCCTGAGCCCGGTTGCCGAGGACGCCCGTGGCTGAAGACAGCATGATGAAATGCTCCAGATCCCGGGGCAGAAGTTCGTGTAGGTTCCACGAACCTTGAATCTTGGGTCTGATAGCCAGCTGGAATTCCTCGTGCGTCATGTTCTCGAGCATGACGTCCTGAACGGCATAGGTCAGCATTCTTCTATTCTTCCATGGGGTAGCATTTGTTACAATCATACCTTTAGCTTCATTGCTCCTTGGACGACGCCTCTTATAGGTGGGAGGGTCTTGCATTGTTCGAGAACGAGACGCAGCTGTTCCTTGTCGCTGACATCGCATGTGAAGATGTGCACACGACATCCGTCTGCTTCGAGAGTCTCGCGCATCGTTGTGACGGCTGGAGTGATGCGGCCGCTGCTGGAAAGGAAGATGAGGTTTCGAGCGCCTCGCGAAGCCATCCATGCAGCAACGCTCCGTCCAATACCTCCAAGGCCGCCGCTGAGCACGTAGGATGCATCTGGAGAAAAGCCAAGCGGCGCCGGTGACGGCGGGAGGATTGGCAGAACGTCATCCTCTCGAGGCACCAGAACAATCTTGCCCATGCCCGTGCCGCCCTGGAGAATGCGAAGTGCATCCACCACCTGCGACATGGGCATAATCGTGGTTGGTGCTGCAGGCAGTGCCACGCCCTCTTTCCACAGCCGCATCGTTTCCTCTGTCAGCATCTTGATGAGATGCGGCTTGTTCTTCATCATAGAAACGAGGTCGACGCTCGCCATGGTCACGTTGCGCAAGTAAGGCCGAAGATCCACTTTGCCATTCATCATGGCGTCTTTCTTGCCAATCTCAATGAAACGACCGAAGGGTGCCACCAGATCCCATGAGCGGCGCAGCGCCTCACCAGAGAGCGAATTCAAGACTACATCAACACCTCTGCCTTTAGTCATACGCAACACGCCCTGGACGAATGTGAGGTCGCGACTTGAAAAGATGTGATCGTCCGGAATCCCAAACTCCTTCTTTATCAACTGTTTCTTTGTTAGAAAAGGTGGATTCGATTGTCACGGCAACAAACTTACGTCTCGCTTCGCGGTAGTCGATAGGGTTACAAACACCTCGGCGCCAATATGTTGAGCGTAACGAATCGCAGCCTGGCCCACGCCACCCGCAGCAGCATGGATAAGAATGGTTTCGTCGGCCATCAATCGACCCGTCTCCCGTAGGCTGTAAATGACTGTGGCATAGACAACGGGCAAGCCGGCAGCCATCTCGAGACTGAGTCCATCGGGGACTTTGGCGACTGTCGCTTGATCCAAACGACCATACGTGTGCATGCACCCGACATGGTCCAGGCCACAGATGTAGACAACCCTGTCGCCAGGGGCGAAGTCGACTACTTTGGGGCCCACGCGAGAGATGATGCCGGCTGCTTCACTGCCCATCGAGTACGCCGTATGCTCTCCCATGGCAATCATGAGATCGCGAAAGTTGAGGCCAACCGCTCGTATCTCGATTTCTACTTCTGTATCGGAGAGCGGCTGATCGTACGTCTCGTCGGTCACCCACTCAAGTTTTTCTAGCAGACCTGGAACAGTTGTCGTGAGCTTGATGGGCCTGCCAGCATCCTTGGCCAGCGTTGGGACTGCTTCTGAGCGGTACAGAGTTGTTTGCAAGTATTCATCTGCACGAATGGCCTCGCGGAGCCGGCTCGTCCAGATCCGGCCATCTTGAAGCATGAACTCACCGTTCGTGCTCTCAACTGGGAGCGTGAGCGAGAACTGCGCCTCACACAGCCTTCGAATCGACGCGCTCAGCGAGGTATTTTCAGGTCGAGGCTCAGAGACTTTCAGCGTGACCAGGCTGGAATCGTCCAAGTCACGTTCCCATCTGGTTGTACGCATCATGCCGGTTATGGCTGCGTACTGGGGATGGAGAAGATCATCTCCAGTTACCCACAAGATGCTCTTAGCCTCGATCAGCATTTTGCGGATACCCTCGTACTCGGCCTGGGACAAATCTGCAATCACAGGACGTTCGAGTTCTGCTAGGACGATGCAGAGACTTTGGCTATACTCGATCCCTTCCAATTCTTGCAGGGATACGGTCCTGATGTTCTGGAACCGGAGATTCTCGTTCAACTTGTCTTTGACGTCTTGCAACAAGCTTTGAGTGTTGCTTTGCTCGGTGCTAGGGAGTGTGACGAGGACAACGTTCTTCCACACGGGACCGGGCTCGTTGCCGTCTGCAGAAGCGTTCTGGGCCACGAAAAGACTCTGGCTATGGAGCTGCTCATTGTGGCTGTCGGGAAGTTCGAAGCGCGCTCCTGTGAAACCAGCAGCCTCGAGGACTTCATCCCACTGCTTGGATGAGACCCATGGCATCCATTGACGCATGGATTCAGTGCCATTCCACCACCCTGACAGCTGGCCAAATGATAGCCCGGACCAGTAGTAATCCTGCCTTGTACCTTCTTGTAGAAGCAGGCGGCCTCCAGGCTTCAGCAACTGGCGAAGATTACTCAGTGTTTTGGCGAGATCGGTGGTGGTATGGATGACATTCTGAGCTACAATCAAATCATAGCTCCCAACTTCGAAGCTCTCCTGCTCGGCAATATCTTGCTCTGCGTCCAGAACTCGGTACTCCATGATGTTGGTGTATGGCTGGAATTTCTGCCTCGCTTGTTCGAAAAAGGCGGCCGAAATATCAGTGTACATGTAATGTGACACGCTGCTAGCAATGGACACCCCATCATCTGCGATGGGAGCAAGGGCATCGAGCACTTGCGCAGTGGACGAGCCAGTGCCGGCACCCACCTCGAGCACGCGCAAATTGGCCTTATTCTTGGCGACTACGTTCAAATAGGCCTCCTGTTGCGCTGGCAGGTCGTTCAAGGTCGCAGTTCGTCTGTAGACTCGATCGAGTATGGCATCCTCAGCGAACATGAGCTGCAGCGGGTCTGTCTCACCTCTTAAGACGGGCACGATGTTGCTGCCCATTCGTACTGCCAACTCACCAAACGCAGTGTCCGAAGCAACCTGTTTGTATAGCGCCGCCTTCGCAGCGTCGTCATGTCTGAGTCGCTCGACCTCAGAGGCTTGGATACCGGTCACCTTGCCGAGCTGGAGATCACTCTCGACGTGCTTCATCCACTCGAAATACCGACAGAGATGACCTTGAGTAGCGGCCGGCACCTTGCCATCTAGCTTCTCCAGTGCGTCCAGGACAAGAAGCACCGCGGCCAGCTGCATGCGAGAATCGAGCTCGATTGCAGCTTGCTCCGAGTCCAGATCGGGCTTGGGCATCTCAGCGAACGAAGCGACGTTGCCTCCTTCAAGATACATATCCACGTGAGGAACCCATTCAATCTCGTGACACATCTTTTCTGCGCCGAGCGAGCTCTGTGTGGCGGAATCCAGAGGGCTTGCTTCAATTCCACTCCAGGCGATACGGGGTTCTTGAGTCGGTCCATCCCAGACGACAACATCTGTCGAGAACTTCTCAAACGCAATCTTGCGCGTCTGGCTGTGAGCACGATAGACATGGCCAGGCTCAGAGTTCAGCTTAGCAGAAATCCAAATGTCCTTGATGAACCGCGGCACCATGGCTACTTCGAGGTTGCTCTTTCCTGTGGCGTCCATGATCGCGGCCAGCGCAAAGTGCATCAAGCTGTCCATGCAGGCTGGATGCATCATGTGCGGAGATGCGATGCCCTTGGGCATAACACTTGCAACGTCAGGAACGGTGACTGTGCCCATGGTCTGGCCACTATGGTCAGAGGTACCCCGGACAGCCGAGCAGTTCTGGAACAGCGGTCCAAAGTTCAGCCCGATTCTTGCCAATCGCTCATAGGCCTTGGCAAAGTCCCAGGGAGATTGACACTGCTCTTCTGCAGCAGTGAAAGCGGCGTGCCAGCGTTCTGTGTCGAGTCGGGCTTCTTGTCCCT